TTTTTCCCCCATTTATTCCCATTTTTTCCCCATTTTTTCCCCATTTTTCCCTGAATTTTCCCCCCCTTTATTCCCATTTTTTCCCCATTTTTCCCTGAATTTTCCCCCCATTTTTTCCCATTTTTTTCCCATTTTTCCCTGATTTTTTCCCCCATTTATTCCCATTTTTTCCCCATTTTTCCATCTTTTTTCCCCATTTTTAACCCATTTATTCCCATTTTTTTCCTCATTTTTCCCAAATTTTTCCTCTTTTTTTCCCATTTTTATCTTATTTTTTTTCCCATTTTTCCCCATTTTTTCCCCATTTTTCCATCTTTTTTCCCCATTTTTAACCCATTTATTCCCATTTTTTTCCTCTTTTTCCCCATTTTTATCTTATTTTTTTCCCATTTTTCCCCATTTTTCTCTGATTTTTCCCGCCATTTATTCCCATTTTAATTTTTTCCCAATTTTCCCTCTTTTGTCCCAATTTTTTCCCATTTTTTTTCCATTTTCCCCTCCCCCTCCCCTCGCTGACGTCACCACCGCACTGACGTCACAACCGCGCTGACGTCACCCCCCAAAAACCCCTCCAAATCCCCCCAAAATTTCGGGATAAATCCCAAAATAAAAAATTCGGGATAAACCCAGATTAAAAAAAATTCCCAAATCCCGTTTTCCCACCCCAAAAAAACCGGGAATAAAAATTCCCAAAAAACCGCGGCGGGAGCAGCCGCAGCCCCTCCCCCACCCCCGGGAGCCGCCGGGAATCGTTAATTAAGGGAGCGTTAATGAATAATTAATGAGCGCGGCCCGGGCGAGGAGCAGGGGGGGAAATTTGGGAATTTTTTGGGAATTTTTTGGGGATTTTTTTGGGGGGGAAAAAAGGGGAATTCCCAAAGATTTTGGGGATTTTTTGGGGGGCGAAAAAATTGGGAATTTTCCAAGGGTGAAGGATTTGGGATTTGGGATGGAAAATGGGGAATTTGGGAATTTTTTAGGGGGGAAAAAGGAGGAATTTCCAAGGGATTTTATCCCTAAAATCCAGGAATAAAAAAAGCGGGAGCTCTTCCCTATCCCAAATCCCACTTTTTTTTGGGGGGGGGGAGAGGGAAGAATCCCAATTTTTCCCCCCAAATCCCAAATTTTTCCCCCCGAATCCCAATTTCCCTCCCCCAATCCCAATTCTAGCCCAAAAAATTCCCAATTTT